CTGTTCCTCCGCTGCATCTCGCCTCTCGTCCCCGGTTCCTGTCTGTGTCGGTTGGTTCACTCAGTCCGCCGTCCGTCCGTCAGCCAGCCGCACGCCGCTAAACTGCATTCCTCGTGCGATCACCTCTTCTTTCCTCTTCCTCCACCGGACACTAACAGGCGCCGTGGTTTCATCGCTCGCAGCTTCAAACCAGCTTACCACCTGCCTTAATCCACATGTGGAGGAAGTACGCGTGTTCCATCTCAGACGAGCTTTAATTCACCACTTGTATGTCTTTTTTCTTCGCTACTTCTACAGTAATAACAAATCTAGAAGGCGTGCTCCCAGAGAACCGCTTCTGTAGTCAAGCTGATAAGTTCCTGCTACATCAAAAGCCGACAAAACCATCTTGTAGCCTGCCCGTAGCTCGTAGGTAATCCAGTACTTCTCAAAACGAGCCGCTTAAGTGGGTTCAAGCCTGAGATTCAATTATAAATACTGTGACTAAGGCAGTATAGGCGTAGCCAGTTCCTCATAAAGAAGTCATGCTAGCCTACGGTGAGATTAGTATCATGAACAAACAATACCCCTTGATTGTCAAAAATAACCACTCTTGTCGTATACATGCTACTATACATGACCTACATGCTCTGAATGTCTATCACTAATACCTATATCTTTCCTGCGGAGACTCAGATAAACGCATATCATACCCAGAGCTAGTTTGACAAGAGTCTACCGCCTGAACAGCGAGCCTACCGAGGACAAACTCTATACAAGTGTGATAATAAGGAATTGTGAACGCATCACCCATCTAAACACATCGCTGTTCTTCCTTATTCTTAACAGTATATATATATTTCTTTTACGATCTGCTGCTCCTCTCTATATTTCTGGAACGCCCAACTGAAGTCTCACTCAAGTAACCCGGTTTATTATCGTTAAATATATCTACTTTATTCATAATCCTCTTTGTCTTTCTCCGCAGTCATGAACAGAATACACAGACTTATTTGAAGTATTTTATTGGGTTGTTATTAATCCCAATAAGTACTTTTAGATTACTAGTATATTAAATTACTGAGATTTCAAGTATATGTTTATATAATTAAAAATATCTCCCTAAAAATATACAATCAGTATAGCAGTTTAATATTAGATACCTATAAACATTTTAAGAAATTTTTCAATTGCAAGTTATGTGTAATAACCACTAGATTCATTGTTAACATGATAATTAAAAACAATCGAAGATTAATTTCTCATGGCTGCTACTATATTTACCACGCTTAAAAAAGGAGCAGCACAACACACTTAATACTTTGAGCAGCTTATGACATGTATTCTTCTTAAGCCAATCCCTCTTTCCTAAGTCCCCAATCTCTAATCAGTGTGCTCCTAATTATTACCCTCCCAATGTCACATATTTTCACAATATTTGAGGTACAGTAAAAGCACGGTACATATGAGAGGGCTTATGTTTGATTACCACCAAACTCTCTGGGCGTACTAGACAATGCAGATATGCCGTATCTTCAGAGCGCCCTGTATAGCTTGTTCCTGTGGTTCAGCTTATCTTAGACCTCCAAATCTAGTACCATAAGAATAGTCCCACGGCCTGATTAAGTCTTGCAGAAGTACTGGATTTTATACCTAAATAATTTATACTATGTTTGACGTTTCTGTCTTTACGACTATCGTAAGTCTATTGTTACTAGATTTTTATTTTTTATAGCAAAAAGCTATTAGACTATGTAGGTATAAATCTGCTTCTGCAATTAATGTAGCACATTTGGATATATAGAACTAGAGAAGAATATGGTTAACACTCATCATAAGCTATGAGACTTCTTTAACTTGTACTATTATACTATGTATTATATAAGTTCTAGTCAGTATACATATACTATGCTCTATCTCTACTATCTAGTCAGCTGGAGACTTATAGATGAAACATCTTACCTTTGTATATAGATAGGATAGTCACGCTGTATACACAAATATGCTATTCAACCTTACAAGAATAAAAGATTTCATTAAAAAACGTAGTTTATACTAGTCTTATTTACGTACTGTATATTTTACATGGTCTTATAGATTCAATTAACTAATAAACAATATAAGCAACAAATAAGTGTAAAAATGCCACATTTATTAGTTTTATGAAAGAAAACTATAATTCTGATTAGTTATGATGCAACACGACATTCTGGTCTTGTTTCCACATAAACGTTTGACCGCTACAACCTTTATGTTCCATTTCTAATGGATGTTATGAATATCCTACTCTATCTCTATTTGACTTTGACTACAAAGCTCGCAGTATTACCACCTGTTTCCACTTCATATCGCTAAATACACTATACTTATACCTGCTGCTTGCTTTATAGTATCATATTATTATATCCGAAAAATACTACGAGAGTGTAGTCTAAGCTTCTACATTCAGTAACTTACTATATAGAATTAAAGCATCTCATCTTACAAAAATGTATTTACTAGTACAAAAAAGAAACACTTCAAAAACTATAGCTTTACCAATGATCCTAAAAACAACATGTTTTTTCCTCTAATCCAAACTTCATGTGCGAAACTTATCCCATAAAAGCTCATTTCATGCATCAATCTTTATTCTCACATTTAAACAGAATATAGATGTGCAATAGAAATGTCAGAGCTTTTCTGTTTCTATACGACTATCAATAATTTTATATATCGACTATCACGCATCCCTTTAAGTACATTTTCATAAAAGCGTAAATAATTTAAGATCTCCATATAATACACCTTATCCATTGTCTCGTCTATGTTATGCACTCTCAGTCAGACCCAACGCAATATAATGCAATTCTTTAAGTATGAGCGTAACAAGCATCGATATACCATATCCTATCAAGTATGTTCATTCAATACATATTGTTCACGCACAGAACCACACTCTCAATCGAACATATACTCCAGTACCGCAAAACGAAGAACGCACGCTCTGTCAGTTCTTCAAAACAACTGCTGAGACAAGCATGATGATAGCATTTTGCCTGAATATAGTCGACCTAATATCCTTAGCTATAACAATCGCATCGCACGAAGTCGAGAATGGGCCTCGACAGCTGCCAGCCTCAATGATCGAATCATCATCACCCATGCTGACCAGCACTTATCTTACTAATATGTAGATGTATCATCTCAGATAGGAAGCAGAAAAACAACAGATAATTTGAATTGAACACTGTACATTCCAGAACTATCTCTTATGTTCCTATACCCTACTTAACTTTCGGGTCATTTTATGATATTGTTATTTCAATTAAATATTTCGTTGTGGGATCTCTATCCCTCTATTGAGTATTTCACCAATTCTAGTAAATGGTAACATATATCCTCATCAACTGTTAACTGATCGTCTAGCTTGGCGCTTTTTCAGAATGTTAATCTACTTATTGAAAAATATCCATCAATCTTGTAAAAATCAACATACTATTTAATAAAGTATTAAAATTGTCACTCTTAATAAGTCTATTAAGTTCTCAAAACAACCCAACGCAGAATTCAATCTTTCTGAAACATTTGTCTTTTATCACATTCTAGGCATACATTATACTGATCGAGGTTCTTATGGCCTCACCAGCAGGTTCAATCATTTCTCCAGTGAGATGAAAATCCAAGCCTTGTGCACTTCCCTTGGATAAGTGAGCAAGTTGATCCGTACCACACAACGTATCACTTTTTTATGGACACTGACACATTCACTATCATCTCGTTTTAACACACAAAACTACACATACTCAATGAGAAACGTCAAATTGAGTTTATGCTTTTGTGCAACAATTGTACTAACTATGATGTTAAGGATACATATCCTAAAGCCGATGACTTTGATCCATTCTCCTTCAATATATAATGATTTTGCGACGACCTTTGCCAACAAGCTTGTGTGTGTGTGTGTGTGGTGGTGTGTTGTGTGTTGTGTGTGTTGTGGTGTGTTGTGTGCAGGGTTAGTGCCGTGCTGTGGTGGCGTGCTTCGTGGTAGTTCGCGCTCCGATTCCCAGGCAGCGCAGTTGTGGATGTTCCAGTGTAGTCCGTCACCATGTACATTTTTGGAGTCTCTGCTCTCTGAACAGGGAGGGCAACCCACCAAGAAGTGCCATGCTGTCGGTCGCAACAGAAATACCGCTATTAGTATGACAACTGCTCATATCTCGCCGATTATTCCCGATGAAACAGAACATACAATTAAATAGGCATGACTCGATAAATACAGACTGTAGATATGGACAAACTGCGAGTTATCAAGAATCATTGTTGGTTCTAAAATAATCAGAATAAACAGTAAGGCTATAATTCGAACCTACATTTAAATAAAAACTAATGTACAATTAAAGTGTTTCATGATAGAATTATAAAAAATACGTAATATGCAAGACATTTCGTAACTGCACACAATGTGGGAAATATTAAATCAAATTCCATATTATGTATCTCCAAGTGCATTATTTTCAAAATCGCGCCGAATTTTAGGTACAGTAAAAGCAGGTTACGAATATGGAATTTGATG